GCAGGGCAGACGCAGCGGCGTGGCCGGCCCCAGAAACGGGACGGCTCCCACCCTCCTCACTAACTACCTGGACGTGAGTCTCTCCCTACGTGGGGGCTTGTCACCCCAACACGGCCCTGCACCCCGCAAGTCCCACCCACTGCACCCCACGGTGCATTTGCTGCCAAGGGCTCGGGTCTGCGTAAACCCCCTCTCCTGTCCGAGCCGCGACCCCAGTGATGCTGCCCAGTGCCGTGCCTCTTCCAGACCCAGTATTTCGGCGAGATCAGCATCGGTACCCCCACGCAGACCTTCAAGGTGGTCTTCGACACGGGCTCGGCCAACCTGTGGGTGCCGTCCTACAAGTGCTCCCCTCTCTACAGCGCCTGCAGTGAGTACGGGGGCATGTCCCTCCACCTGGAGGGCTGCTCAAAGTGGGCTGGGGGGGGGTTACCTTTGCACAGCAGGGTCTGCTGCTGTCCGGTCCCCTGGCACTGGGGCAGTTCATCATCCCACAGGTTCATGGGGAGCAGAGCCCCGTAGCCGGTCCTGCCGTCGCCACCTCCCTCGCGTTCTTTGATGCACCTTCTCCCTCTCCCCAGTTTCCCACAGCCGCTACGACTCCTCCAAGTCACGGACGTACATAGCCAACGGCACGGGCTTCGCTATCCGCTATGGAACGGGAAGCGTCAAAGGCTTCCTCAGCCAGGACATCGTCATGGTGAGTGCGTGCCCTGAATTCACAGACCTGGAGCCGCTGGCTCAGCAAGGAGACGCCCACGAGTGGTTCTGCTCCCCCATAAGAGCATCCCCAGTCACCCAAGAGTAAGGGGGCTCTTTGGGGGATTTAGCCCCCCAGCTCCCTGCAAGGACACTTGTGCCCTTCCCCAGGTATCAGACATCCCCATCATCCAGGTCTTTGCTGAGGCGACGGCGCTGCCTGCCTTCCCCTTCATCTTTGCCAGGTTTGACGGGGTGCTGGGGATGGGCTACCCCAGCCAGGCCATCGACGGCATCACCCCCGTCTTCGACCGGATCCTCTCCCAGCAGATCCTCAAGGAGGATGTGTTTTCCGTCTACTACAGCCGGTGGGTCTTGTGGGGAGCAGGCGCCGGGACTGGGGAGGTGTTTGTTTTGCAGGGCATGGGCATTGCAACCCCGGCGGTGCTGGGTTTGCAGCTCAGGACTGGGAAAGAGCCATGGCTGGGGCTGCAGGACCTTGGGTGGGGTGGGGGGCACAGGCACGTGGAGGATGCCTGGAGGAGCTGGGGTGGAATGAGGCAGCACAAGAGGCAGAGCCAGGTGGATGCTTATCTGGATCTGCTGGGCAGGGAGTGCCTAGGCTGGGAGCGGCTGGGGCCCGCTCGTTTGTCACTGTCAGATTGCACAGTCACCAGCTCTGCTAGTGGGGCTGGAGCAATCACAGCCAGGAGAGGATTTAGCGTTTCATCTACTGGCAAAATTAAAAAAAAAAAAACCCAAACCAAAAATCTGTTGAAGAAAAACCTACACCAGCAGCCAAACCTCCTTTCATTTCTTGCTCCAAACTGTTGTGCCCCAGCATCCCTCCTCCCAGCAGCACCAAAACCCACAGGAGCAGCGGGAGGGCCCGTCCTGGCAGAGCAGGAACGCTGCCCCCCGGCCCCACCACTCCCCACTGGCCCCAGGTGCAGCAGCCTGGCAATGTGCGGTGACAAACAGCCCCACGAATGCATGCTTAAAGCAGGCATGGTAGCTCTTTACCTCAACTGAAGGTGGATCCATCAATAACGAACAAAGCCTAACGATGCTGGTTGCAACTGCAGCCTCGTCCAAGTGCCGCTTGGGTCCCCTCGGCACCCCGGGGACACAGCCGCCCTCGGACCACAGGCTTATGGAGCATCTCTCTCTTTGCAGAGCTTCGAAGTAAGAAGACGAAAAGCACGAGTGCTCTCGAGACAGCACCCACTAACAGTCACCCGCGCACCCTGGGGCCGGGCAGCAGACCCTGCTCCCGCTGCCAGCCCCAGGCGAGCCCTGCCCCGCGCTGGCAGCTGGACACTGGTCCATAGGAGCTCACACACTGCATCAGCCCCGCACCGGGCTCTGCCAGCACGCCTGCCCCGTGCAGGGGCCAGCACCGACCTGCTCGGAGACCTCAGCATGTGGCACCCCTCTCCTGCGGGCTCTTGCACCCTGTGCACTAACTCGGGGTTTCTTCTGCTCCGTCTTGCTCTCTGCCACTGCTAACCGGGTCAGCAGAGCCTCATGGCCGGGGCTGGTCCCTTCTCCCCATTTTTTCAGGGACAGCAGCCGAGGGGGAATCACTCCACTGTGTTTTGCACCCTAGGAACGCTCCTCTGAAACCTGGGGGGGAAATAATCCTTGGAGGCAGTGACCCAGCCTACTACACCGGGGACTTCCACTATCTGAACGTCAGCAAGAGCGGCTACTGGCAGATCAGCATGAAGGGGTGAGGCCAGGGATTGCCTCTGCACAGCACCGGCCGCATCCTGCAAACTTCCCTGGGTGTCCGAGGGTGGGCCTGGGAAAAGCTTGCTGGGTGCTGGGGAAGGTGGTCCACGGAGGCATGTGTTCACTCGGTCTCGCTGGCGGATGCCTTCCCCTCTGGAGGGGAGCGGGGTCGGTTCCTCCAGCACAGAGTTGCATCTCCATGCTCAGCAAGGAGCCAGGATCAGAGCTGGGGAATGCAGAGGGGGTGGCACTGTGGGCTGATTCAACTTGGAAGCCGCAGTGGAAGAATTTAACCCCCTTTAGTCCTGCAGAAGGAGTGTGAGGCACTGAAACAATTCTGCTTTGTTTAATGTAAAAAAATAAAAACCACACGTGATGAAGCTTAGCTTTCACATTCGAGAAGCTTGAAGGGAGGGTTCTGGTGCGCCTGGAGGGTCTGTACTCCAGAGGCACTAGGAGCAGCACATGCTCTGCTTGGCCAGTGTTCCCTGGACAAAGATGTGGCACACTCCCCCATGGGCACACGCAGCCCTGGGAGCCGAGCTGCAGCTAATGTGGGAGACTCAGGGTCACCCCTCTCCCCTCCCGCTCCAGCGTGTCTGTAGGGGCTGAAATCCTGTTCTGCAAGGAAGGCTGTTCAGTGGCTGTCGACGCGGGAGCATCCTCCATCCCCGGCCCAGCCGGCCCTGTCTCCGTGCTGATGAAAGCCATCGGGGCAGCCGAAATGGCCGAAGGAGAGGTGAGCAAACCCCCTCTGCCCCACTCTGTGTCCCTGCCCCTTCGCTGCCTGTACCCCAGCCCATCCCTACCCCAGCAAACAGGCTCAGCGCTGTCTCCTCCTCCTGCAGTACGTGGTGGACTGTGACCGAGTCCCTCAGCTGCCCAACATCTCTTTCCACCTGGGTGGGAAGGGCTATGCGCTCAGCGGCTCAGCCTACATCCTTCGGGTAAGCTGCATCCCTCCGTGTGGGGTGGGAGGGTGGCTCTCCCGGGGCTGGGTCCTTCTGCTGGGGAGAGAGGTGCATCTCGGGGTGCAGCTCTCCTGGAGCATCCTGCGCCCTCCTGGCTCCCCTAAAGCGGCAGAATGATGCTTCTTGTTTTTTCCCCGAACATTCCTGTTTGGCAGCGGTGTCCAGATGAGCCAGACCAACCCGTCGCTGCTTCCTTGGGTGGTTTTGGGGAGATTTGGGGTGAGCAGCCAAAAGCAGAGACAGGCAGGGATCCTCCTTCCCGGAGGAAGGAATGTTGAGGCCAAGCAGAGGGTGTTGAGCTGGGGATCAGAGCCCTTCCTCGGGCACGCTGCAGTAGAGATCTCCCTTCTGGCACCTCCATCACCACGTGGGTCTCCTCCTCTTTGCAGCAATCCCAGTATGGGGAGGACGTCTGCGTGGTGGCCTTCTCGGGGCTGGACATCCCACCCCCGGCTGGTCCCCTCTGGATCCTGGGCGCCAGCTTCATTGGGCACTACTACACCAAATTCGACCGGCGCAACAACCGCATCGGCTTTGCCACGGCCCGCTGACGTCCGGGAGGGGGCTTGGGGAGAGGGACGGGGGAACCAGCCTGGAGGCAAAAGTACCACCGAGAAGAAACGATTTGAAGTGCAAGAGAGAACAGCGTTTCCTTACAGCTCAGCCACCTCCTCTCTTTACTGAAGCAACTGCAAAACCTCGCCTTCTCCCACTCCAAAACCCCCGCTCTGCTTCCCGAGAATCTCTGCTGCAGGGGAGAACTGAGCCTTAAATGTATCTTCTAGTAAGCGTGTTCAGTCTGGAAATCAAAGCGGGATCCTGTGTCCGGAGTTGCACCTCCAGGGACTTTTAGGGTGATGTGCAATAGAGCACCTGGCATGCAGTGGATCGCTGCTGGCATGGAGGTGCTCGCAGGTTGCAGACATACTGAGGAGGGATGATCTGTTACGGTTTGTGTTATTCTTTGAATGGGAAAAAAATAATCTGGCTGTGTTTAATGATAGCTTTAGCTGGTGTTCACCCTACCCCTCTCCATGACTTTAATATTAAACGATCTCAGAGCAACAGGACACTGAGTGGATACTTATTCTTGCAGAGGGGAGAGATCAGACACTTTTATTAAGAGAACTGGACAACAAGTGTTCCTCTGCTAGGATTCACCACAGCAGACACTGCATTTATGTCCTTCCCTGTTTCAGAAGAGTGAAACACCCTCCCAGCTAGCGCCACAGCCTCTACATGCAGGCATATCAGGGTCTTTTCAAACAGCAAACAAGCCCTTTCTGCAGGATTCGAGCTGCTGTGTGGGCTACCCATGCCTCGACCTGCCTTCCCATGGGGGGCTCAGGACCACTGGTCGCACCCCTGGGGACAGAGGGACAGGGCAGTACATCTGCTTTGCTGCTCTTTAGGGAGGGGAAGGTGCCTGCAGGTCTGACTAAGGGTCACTGACTTTGTCCCACCAGGAAGGCAGCTCTTGCTGCCCCAGTGCCTGGATCTGTTTTCGTTGCCACGCTGGCTCAAGCTAACAACCAGAGGCTTGTCTCTGTCCTGGCCATGTGTGGAGATGCTCAGCAGGAGCGTGCTGGAGCTGCGAGCCCCGTGCCGGCTGGCCCGGCAGGAGGGGCAGACCAGTACTCCCAGCTGGAGGCCGACATTTCCAGTTCTGCGGGAGAGCTGCAGTGCTTCAAGTTACAGCCCAGCAGCTGCGAATCCAAGCTCTCCCCAATGCCAAGCAGTTTGCAACACGCTCTCGTCTCCAGTTCCACCAGCTCAGGTGCTGTGACTGCCGTGATCCACAGCCGAGCCCTGGGAAACGTGCCTGTACAGCAGAGCACAACGCTTGGGCTTCTGGAGCAGAGCCTGGAGCAAGCCACCATCTGAGTGCAATCACTCGCAGAAGCTTCTCATCCTCATTTCTGCCACCGGTGATGACTGCTGACGAATTCCCAGTGCTGCCCGAAGCACAGGCTGACATGAGCTGCCTGGCTGGCACGGCTGCAGGGATGTTCGGGAGAGCGATGCTCCTGCCAGCACCAACATGGCTGCTGCTTGCTGCGTGACCTTTCCAGACAGGTAGGCAGCAGCCTCCGCTCTGCTCGCCAGCCCTCCCTCCCAGCGCGGCACCTCGTCCCCTGCCCTGCCCCATGGAGCGGCAGCGCAGCCTTAAAGCAGAAAGGATGTGGCTAAGCGGATGTTTGTCCCTCCTGGGAGGGTCTGTGCAGCTGCGTAGCATTTAAACCTCTTAAAGTTGGGATGCACAACCCTGGGTCTCCAGGGACGGGAAATTCAAGGCACCCAACGATGTTACTTGTTTCTTGCCGTCGCCTTCTGCAGCACTGATCCATCACCTCCACCACCGGGGCGAGGAGAGCGGTAGCAACGGCTCTTCGGGGCCTGGGGGTGGAGGGAAGGGGCCCCAGCGGTCAGCGTATCTCGCTTTCATCCAGCGTTTCCTGAGCACACCCGGGCGCTCCAGGCAGCTGCTCATCAGCACAGGAAACCCCAGGGGCTGGGAAGCAGCGGCAGCACAGGCAGGGAGGGCACGGGAGGCAGGGAGGGCACGGGAGGGAGGGCAGCAGAGCTGCCCAGAGACCCTCGGCAAGGGGGGATCTGCACAGGTCAGCGCTGGAGCTACAGCCCGGCCTCTCCGCAACCTTCTGGCTGTACAGAGGTGCTGGCAAGCTTCTCCCTTTCCTTTCCTACCTCAGGGAAACTCTCCAGCTGGAAATAACTAAGCCTCCTCTGCCCTATTCTACACCGCAAAGGCTCTGGCCTGAGCTCTCCAGGCTTGAGCTCTGGAGAAGGCTCAAGTGGATCTGAGCTTGAAAAAGCACCAGGTGACTTAAGCCCCTATGATGGCTTCTGCCTATAGCCCCCAGCTGGAAAATGGTCAGGCTGGCCTAAAATAGGATGTTTTTGTGGATCCAGTCCTGTTCCTATTCAGCACAGCGGTTTCAAGCAACGGGAGGGGAAAAATGCCTGGGCTGCTTGCGGTGCTGCTCCTGGGCCCCTTAAGCCAGCCTATTAACACCTCTAATCGCCTGTGCCAGGGCAATTTCCTGGTGGCTGCTGCGCAGTCCCGGCTGGGAGGCACCGCTAACCCACAACTGCCCCGTATTAACGCTTGTGATTGTTACGGGCGAGCAATTAGGCCACACTCAGCCCAGCGAAGCAGTGGGAGCAATTATGACCATCCTATTAAAACGGACAGAGCTCGCTCTATATTTAGAAACACGGGGAACTGGCTGGTTTGTTTTTTTCCCTTTCCTTAAATGATTTTTCCCCAAGTCTCTGTGGTCCATTTAGCTGGTTTTCAGCCACAGCCAGCTGTAAACTTTGGAGGGGGCATTCTCCGCTCCGAGCCACGTGCAGTTGTTATTTCCTCTGATAATGAAGCCGGGCTGGAGCGGTGTCAGCGGTGGGGCTGTGCCAACGGGCGAGTCGTGCTCTATCTTGAACTATCAAACCTCTCTCCAGCCCACCCGTAAATCCCCTGCGGGGGTCGGCGCTTGGTGGGTGAGATGATAGCGGGGCTGGAGAGGCCAGTCCAGAGGGGCCACGTCCCTCCTGGAGCCCAGGATGCTGCCACCGCATCCTGGGGCACATCTCACGCGCGGCATCCCCATCCTTTTTATCCCAGACCCCAAAGGGGTTGGGGGGGCGTGCGGAGCCCCCCGGGATGCCTGAGGGGCTCCGGGGATGGGGAGGGAGAGGAG